AAGGAAAGATTATTTTGTATTTATATATACAAAATAGGATAAATTTACAGCTACTTTCGCTTAATTCAATGAGAAGAAAGAGGTGTACTAACAGTGTTTGGACAGAATATCTTGTCTGCTTCTTGTACTATGGATAACCACTAAGAAGATAACAATGTACAGTGTATTGATTATCAAAACTGTCCTATTCATCAGCTGTCATTCATATTTATTTCTCAATAAAATAAAAGACAAAAAAAAAACTGAGCTAATGGGCAGGCCCCCTGAATATGGTGAAAGATTTATTTATTTGATTTTTTTTTTTTTTTTTTTGCAGCAGCAGTGGCAATTGAACTCAGGACCTTGCACTTGCCAGGCAGGCTCTTATTCTACTGAGCTATCCCCCCCCCATCCCCATCCCCCTGCCCCCAACACATTACTTTTTATTTTCATGAAAGAAAACCCGATTTTTCTCTTGGTTTCATAATAAATTAATCTAGCTTTATTCAAGTATGAAAAATACCCCTTTGGGGGGCCAGGGAGATGGCTCAGTAGAATAAGCACTTGCCTGGCAAGCACAAGGGCCTGAGTTCAATCCCCAGTTCCACCAAAAAATAAAAGAAAAATACCCCTTCAAAATACATACATCTTACAAGTTATATAACATTTCCTGAATTAAAAATGACATCAGTTCATCAGAAAAGACTAACTCAGTACAGTAGTATTAAGCAGAATAATTATCATGTGGAATGTACTACACACGGTAAGATCAAGAACACATACATGAGATATTTGACATATACAAGCTCTAAGACAAAGGGATTTTAAGCAGTTTTTATATTTGTGAAAATATCTGTGACGAAGACCAACATTATGAATTTATAACGCTCCTTATACATTACACATAAAGCCCTTGATGATATATTTACTAGTACTTATAGTTTCCAGGTATAAAGGATGCCTACCTTATTATTTCCTGAAATTCTTTCTGTTTCATTTTCAATTTCTTGTCGAATTTCATCAAAATCTGTGTAGAGCTAAAAATTATTGAAATATAAAGCACAATATTCAAATAAGATCAAAGTCTTAGGGCAGAGGCAAGTATGGCAGATCTCAAGGGTGCTTACAGATCTCCTGCAGAGAAAGGCCAGGCACACTAATGCGCCTACCATTCTGAGCCAGAAGACTCAGTTTTTATGAGCTCTGTTTTGAAGCTGCCTGACCTCACCATAGTTAAGTCGCTGTTACAAAGAATCAAGTTCAAAGTTTATTTACCAAATAAGTTACTGCAGTCAGAAATGCTACTAAGAAAGGAACTATTTTACAAGGAATAGTGGCCTTAATGTCACAACAAATTAACAATGAAAATTACTACTTGTACAAACTTCTCATCATGTTATTTCTGCATTATATTCTTGTGTGATTACCTTATTTTTGGTGTGAAGAAATTTACCCCATTCTTCTGCTTCTACCCCTAGAAAAAGAAAAACTAATTTATGGAAATTACTTTTATGGTTAAGTTAGGAACTCAAAAAAGTAACACAATAAAACATTATTTGTTCCTATTTTGTGATTAACTAAAAATTAACAAGTGTTTTAAGATATGCTAAATTATAATTTTACATTATAAAAATGGAATTTTGTATTTTGAAAATATGACTCACTTCTAGAAGAGCTGCACAAAAGGCTTCCCAAACTTGAAATCTACATTTTACAAATAAAATCGTTTCACACCTATTTTTTCTCTGAGTATACTGTAGTAAGTGACACATTCTTTAAACATTTATACACTAAAGAAGGTTACCTGATGCATTATATTAAGGCTAAGGAAAAAAATTAAGAATCCCATTGGGTAATGCAGAAAGCATACATAATAGATATAGTAAAAATTTGTAATATGTGAATCAAACAGGTAATATATCAGATATTTGTTAAATCTGTTTTCTTACTGTTTTCCATGCAGTCCCAATTTGTCATTCCTTTACAGAACTCTCAGTAGTGCGAGGCTAGCTGTTTTTGTAATATATACATCTTAATTTGCCCCAAAGGCTAAGACTTTTCCCACAGATTTGAAGACAGGAAAGAAATGAGATAAAGGAAGAAAATAACCCCAACACAAAACTCTGTATGTATCACATGGGGTTGTGCCTCTCCTTACGTTTCTACACACAGGCCATTTCCTCCTTGCAATTGCTAAAAAAAAAAAAGGAAAATATATTCACTGTGCACTGTGTAGAGACATCTAAAATTGGAAAGCAAGTTTTTCCCCAGAGATATTGGAAATGTTTAATTGTAAAGGTAATGTAACTTTACCTTTCCTGAGCACAGCTATTCTGCTTTTGTAAAACCAAAAAAAAAATTAAGTATCTTAATGATTGAGTACACTGATAATGTCTATCAGCCACCTTAAAAGTGACTACAACTTTCATACAAATATTTACCAAGGAAAAGATGGACAATGTCTTGGATAGAATGAGAGTAAATGACACTGGATCCTTTTTCCAAGGAAAATGCTCACCTACTGGCAGCTTAGTACCTTCGTCCAAGAAGTCTCATTGGAGGACTGCAGTAATCTAGGTGAATAGAACTCAAAAAGGCAAGTACTACGTACCGAAGGGTGTTTTCAATTTACCTAATCATAAAGAAGAGGCCTAGCTTCACAAGCACATTTTTAAAAAACAAAAACAAAATAAATTACATTCACCACCAAAAAAGCCTGCATGTTGATGCAATGCCAGAAGGGTGACAAGGACCACTCAAACCTGCAACCAAGGTGGAGAGGCAAACAAAAACGGAAGGAAAAATGCACACAGCCTGTACAAGTATAGAAGCACACATGCAGGCATAATAGAAAAAAGGGCCAAAACAAATGGATGAAGGAAACCTTTGGAAAGGTGTCTTGAGTTTTTCCATGTAGCAGGGTCTGTAGTTAAAGAGAAACAGCATAGAATGATAAGTTTAGTGCTTATCCCTAAGATCAAAACCTTTGAAAAATCAAATTAAAAAGATGTATGTTTTTAAGTAATGTAAGCAAAACATACTGTGTGCCCTAATTTTTAATATTTTTAGTTTTTTTCACTGTAATTACCTTACCATTATTTCTAATTCTAAATGGATTAAAATTAATCTATTTAAAGATGTGCCTGAAATACATGATAGGCTACTGTGGGAAAAGATAAATTATCTGATAAAAAAGATACAAAAAACATACAAAATATACTAACCACAAAAAAAATACTAAACACATCTTTAAAAACCTTGAAAAAATAAGTATATGCAAGTGTTTACCCTACCAGCCAAAACTTGAACTTTATATTTTCTTCGAAATACATGTTGAGTTTAACAGAACAGCACAGAAAGTTAAACGCTCACTCTCACGGAGTCAGTCCACAAGGTGCCCACTACTTGGGCCACAGCTCTCATTCTACCTTTTCTCCTTTGAGGGGCAATTAATGGCTTTTACAAATGGGTAACTCAGCTAAGTGGTAATAAAGATTCAAACTACACCAAGATTCTTGAATATTACTGTAAAAAGCACATATTTGTAGTTTTAAAAGAAAACAAACTTTTGCTTCAGTTCAAAAGCTTTCCTTCCCCAAATGAACCCAAAATTTTTCAAGTTTCCACTGACACTGCATGGAGGTACAACACAAAGCACAATTCTGACCTTTACTCAGTTATGGTACTTTAGGGTTTTGTCTAGAAAGAACTCTATCTAAAGCTTGATTTATTGCTTACCAAGATACAACAAGTGATTGTGGAATTCAAAGTAAACCACCTCACTCTAAAATATAGTTTAATTTTGTTTTCAGCTAGAATGCATCAGAAAAGTCTTCCACACAGGTAGAAGTAGGGGGCAAGCTGAGATACCCTAAATCTTCATACCAATACCTCAATGATCACACAGTTGGCAGAATGAAGGCTCTCTAGCAAGTAAATTTTCTTGATAATTAAACTAAACAAAACAGAAAAGGGGGCTATAAATGAAGGACCATTTTGTAGTGAAATACAAAATATTTGGGATAGATATATAGCTACTTTCTCTTAGTTCAATAAGAAAGATTTGTACTAATAGTGTTTAGACAAGATATCATGTCTGCATCTTGTACTATGAATAACTACTACGAAGACAACAATATACAATGTTTAAATTATTGTAATTGTCCTACTAACCAGTTTTGAAACTATCTCATTGCTATTTCTTTCTCAATAAAATTAACTAAAAATTAAAAAAAATAAACTATACAAACTAAACCCTAACATTTTTTATCTCAACCAGTTTAGTCCTACTGTTATCTTAGGAAACGCTGCTCTTAACTTCAGCCTTTGTTACCTGACAATGTCCACAGAGGCTGTATAAATCCCTGTACAAAATGGTAAGGGAGTGACTTTTTGGTTTTCTTCTGCTTATATTTTCCTTGCACTGTCTCTCACTGTCAAGTTGTCTGGTAGTTCACACTCTAACTGACCTATATGTTAATCTACTTTGTAGCTTCTAGTTTTTTCTGAGTTGAAATAATTTTATGATGAGCTGTAAGTGCTTATCCCAAAGAACCAAAGGCTATGACAAGACGCTAAAGAACTATTTTAGAGCATGCTGGGCATGATGGTGCATGCCTATAATCCCAGCACTTGGGAGGCTGAGGTGAGAGGACTACTGCAAATTTCAGGCCATAATGGCTACAAAGTGGGCTCAAGGCCACCTGAACTGCAGAGTGAGACCCTGTCTTAGAAAGACAAAAAAAAAAAAAAACCTAGAATAAAACATGAAAGCTAGTATGCAAATATATGAAATTTATTTTGTGTAGTGGTAGCTGAGTTGTCATTTTAAGTGTGTGGGGGATATATACACACATAAAAACAAAATAAGCACTAAGCTTGGGGAAAATATATACACAGGAAAAGATAGGCAGACTCATTACACATCACGAACAGGAGACATCAACGAAACACAACACACATACACAAGCCAAGATACCAAGGCACTGACTGGCAAATCTATGACAGAAATGTATACCTTTTCCTAATAAGCAAAGCTTTATGTAAGGCAACACTACCCAACATCTGCAAAGAGTTTCTCAGAAACAGAACTGCATCTATTATTCAAAGTCACTGAAGAAAATTAAAAAGTTAAAAAGATCTAATGTAATACAATTTGTTGTTTGGTAAATTTGATGAAATCAGTAGGGGTGAAATTAAAAATGTGCTATTCTATGTATCTGAGACTGAACCAATAGCCAACAATGACTAAATTCAGGGTTTAGAATTTCAGTAATAAAGATATACAACAGAAATGGAAAATGATTAACAATATACTAAGATCACTAATGTAACTAAGACTCCTTAGTTACATATACATCTGTGACTATCCAAAAATATTTCGTTAACAACTTCCTTAACTTGTTTCACTGATTATGTTATACAGCCACAGTAGGTGCACATGAGTTTTGTTCCTCATTCTAAAATAAGAATGAGTCACCATCAACTGTCCCTATGATTAAAAAATCAGATACGGGAATTAAAATGGTATCATTTGTCAATGCTGTCATCCTGTCTTAAATCTGAACATAAGATATGCGATGAAATTGCACTGAAAGTATCCTTCCAGAATGGAAACAGACATGGTACTGCACTGCAAAGCTGTTTTATACATTCCAAGCCAAACTCCAAACTAAACAGAAACTTAAATATATTACTTTCAATAAACACTTCAAATTTAGTTAAATGTAACTAACACTGGATACACATTTATTAAGAAACTTAAAAGCTACTAGACATAGACAACATTTCTTTAAATATTTTTAACTTAATCTTCTTTAAAAAAAAAAAAAAAAAACAAACTTCACTGCATGGAACAATGCATATTTCCTAATTTTCCGACTCCACACTTAACATTCAAATAATCCACTACTGAAATAACTTCAGTTTAGCTGGCGAGTAACCTTGACAAGGTGGAGGAAAGGCTCTTTCAGGGTGAAAACAGAATGTGCTACAGAGGTAAACTAAGTTGAGGAAAAGACTTGCTATTTCTCTTAGACTGAGGGACAGAGGAATAGTGGGTACAGGAAACCAGAAAGGGGAGGCAAGGTAACAATGCTCAGCTAAGAACCAGAAACCTTTCAACTAGAATGCAGATGACTTAAAATTTCTAAATCAAGGGGCTAAGGAGCTAAGGCTTAGTTGTGAGAGCTCAAAGTCAGCCCAAACTAGCCAGCAAGACCTTGTCTCAAAAACACTAAGAAGTAAAAAGCCAAAACCACTGAGGTTAAAATTGGGAAACTAGAAGAGGGGGACTTTAACTCATTCCAAATCATGCAATTTTTTTTTTTCTTTAAAATAATTAGTGGGCTGGCGGGATAGCTCAGGGGTCTAAGCACCTGCCTGGCAAGCACAAGGACCCAAGTTCAATCCCTGGTACCACATGCAATGCCAGCACCCAAAACCCCGGGTATGCCGTGTCAGCCACCAAATCCAGGCATGGTGGTACACACCTGTAATCCCAGCACTGGGGAGGCTGAAATAGGAGGATCACTACAAGTCCTCACCGTGTAGCGAGACCCTGTACCAAATAAATAAGTAAATAAATAATTTTAAAAATAAAAATAAATAATTAGCAATGCTAGGCATATTGGTGCACGCCTGCAGTCCCAGCACTCAGGAGGCCAAGGAGGAACACCTTTGAGGCCAGCCTGGTCTACATGGTGAGACCCTCTCAAAACATAGGATTAAAAATATAAAATAGTTGGTAACTAGAAGTGTCTCAATGGACCCTCCACTAAACAGCATTAAGAGCAGTTTATTATGCTGAATTATTCAAAAGGACTATTCTTAATCATTTCACTCATGGCCTTTCAAAACAACACAAATTACTTTTTCACTTTAAAAAAGATGTATACCACTCTTCACAGGCTTTGCTTTTGCTACTGCCACTAATTGTAACTATCCAATCAACAACAACATCTTGTTTTAAACTAGACCAAACATTTTAGAACAGTGTTTTTAAAGACGCTTATGCCCACTCCTGAAACTTACCATTTTCTTCTCCCGTTGTTTTTCGTTTGTCTTCTGGTGAAACGTGGACCAGCTGCAGGATGAGAGGCCTCCGGGTGACAATGCCAGTGCCTCTGGGAAGCAGGTCCCGCCCCACCAGGCTTTCCAGTACTGAGCTCTTCCCACTGCTCTGAAACAGAATATATGAGAGCAAAGTGAGTTCCTTAACACGGTTTTCCTGCATCAACAGACTGTAACCACAAAGCACCATACAAACAAATTACTATTATTAAAAAATTAGTAGACTTTTAAAATGAAATTTAGTTATATTTACTATTATGATATCTTTTTTTTTTTTTTTTTTGGCGGAACCAGGGATTGAACTCAGACACTTGGGCTTGCCAGGCAAGCACTTATTCTACTGAGCCATCTCCCCGGCCCCTATTATGATATCTTTAAAAAAATAAAATAAAATAAAACCAAAACACAGTAGCAAAAAAGGCCTACTCCAACTAACCACTAAGAAGAATATATGCAGTGTATTATTTGTTGAAACTGTACTTTTGATTTGATTTGAAACTGTCTCATTGCTATATGTTTATCAATAAAACTTTTGAAAGAAAAAAAAAAAAAAAAAAGGCCTACTCTCCCAACCTTTTAAAATACTTTCCCAACTAGGTTTCAAAACCTACATGATACTGGTATATATAAAATCAAACCTGTAATAAGTAGCTATTTTTAAAGCCATTTTACTTTAAGTGGGAGCAGTCTTACATATATTTTTCTCTAACTTGCTTTTTTTAAATGTAATGATAAAGGATATTATTCTTCATGAATATACTAGCAAACAGCTAAACAGTAGTATTCTACTGTAAATTCAAACCTCTTGGGCATTTAAATGCTCTTTTCAATATTAAAAATGCTGCAGTGCACACGCTTGTGCACATAACCTTACTTATGGCCTCGTCAGATGACAGTGCACAGACTAGAAGCAAACACAGATGCCACCACGCTGCACAAAGGATGGCAGTAAGCTACAGCTCTAACGGTCTGCTAGGAGTTTGGTCAGGGCACTACAGTGCCATCAACACTGGCTATTATCACTTCTTTAATCTCTGCTGCTTTCATACACACTGATAGCTCCTTTAAATGTGCATTTCTGTTAGGCATGGTAATCCATGCCTTTAATCCCAGGACTCAGGAGTTCAAGGCCAGCCTGAGCTACATAGTGAGTTCAAGGGCAGCCTACACTATACAGCGAGATCCTGTCTTAAAACACAAAACAAGGCTGGGGATGTAGCTCAGCAGCACAAGTACCTGCTCAGCAAGTGTAAGGTTCCTAGTTCAATTCCTGGTAAATACACACACACACACACACACACACACACACACACACCCCAAACACTCTATTCCTTTATTACTGAGGTTAAGCATTCTTTTAAAAAAGGTTTTCTGTATTTCTTCATTTATAATTTACTTGTTCAAATGCTGTTTCATGTTTTCTAGCCTATAATAAAGCTATGTATCCATAATGTACTATTTTTTGTTTTGACTATCTCTTTCAATTATTTACTTTGAAATTTTAATTTACCTTATTATTTTACTTTTTTGGGTTTTTTTTTTTTTTGAGACATAGTCCTATTATGCCACAAACTGTGGCAATCCTCCTGTCTCAGCCTCCTGAGTGCTGGGATTACAGAAGTGTGCCCCACTTGCAGCTACTTTTGAAAATTTGAACGCTACCAAAAAGATGCATGATTAGCTGACAGTGAATACTAATATACCTTAACATAGATTCACCAGTAATGTTTTGACACATTTCTTTTATGTTTCTACTTATACATCTAGATATATTTTTGTTTTGCTAACCCATGGTGAGAGTTATCAACAGATATCATGACGTTTCACATCTAAATACTGTGGCACTATCTCCTAAGAACAAGGGCATTCTTCTGTATAACTACAATATAATGATCACACTCAGGAAATTTTAAATAGGTAACAATACTAATATTTAATACACAGTAAACAAAAAAATAGCATAAAGCTTCATTATACCTTTTAAATGTGCATAGAATCTAGTAATCATTTTAAATATTTCTAAAGATACCATTTTTCTAAATTTTATAATATAGTACACTTCTCTATGCAATACATATTTCCTGCACTCTTACTTTATAATCATCAAAACTAGGATATCCTATAATATTTTCTATAAATGCGAAAATCTTAATTTCATTGGTTCAATCAGAAACATGAACCAATCGGGCCCACACAAATTAAGCTAACTTTAAAAGGGTTCCCTGACAGAATCACTGTTCAAAAAACTGGAGGTGAAGCTCAGGACACTAATAAGGATAGCACTGTAACCTGGGGGAGACAGACAGACAGACAGAGAGACAGAGAGACAGAGAGACAGACAGACAGACAGACACAGACACAGACACAGACACAGACACAGACACAGACACAGACACAGACAAACAGAGACAGAAACAGAGAGATACCACACCGAGACAGAACACACACACAGAGAGACAGAGACAGAGAGACAGAGACAAAGAGACAGAGAGAGAGAGAGACAGACAGACAGACAGACAGACAGACAGACAGAGAGAAGCTCTATCACCTAGGCCCCTACGTAAGGGACCACAGCTTCCAGAACAGTGCACAGGCAGCCCCAGGCTCCTGCACACAGGAAGGAGGAGGTGGGGAAGTCCCTGGGGGCGCTCCTCATATCCAAATCTAACTGGAGGCCAGAGAACTTGGGGCCCACTCAGAAGGCTGATCGGATCTGGAGAGACAAACAGAAGTTTCGGTACTCCTAAGCTTTGTTTCCAAGTTTATTACGTCTCACTCAGTAAAATGTGGGGATCTTCCATCACTTAATTACTGTTCTCTACAATAATTTAAACATGAAAATTTCCTGGTTTTTTGACACATGATATGATAAAACCGATCTATTAAAAAAAATCTTATTTTTTATTTTCAAATGGGTGAGCATAACTGCTAATAATATTCTTAGAATTTGTTAGCTTTTCTTATTCACCATTTTGTCATATGCTCTTTTTCTGACCAGGATTTCCAACTGACTGGTAGTTGATTTTATTGGTCAACTGTCTTTTATTGATTTTCCTTTTTAATTGCTTTTATACTGTTAATTTTTATTTATTTATTTATTTTTTGGCGGAACTGGGGATTGAACTCAGACCCTTGCACTTGCCAGGCAAGCACTTATTCTACTGAGCTATCTCCCCAGCCCCTATACTGTTAATTTCTTAATACTGTTTCACCCTTCCCCAGAAAAAAGCTTATCTATTCTTTAAAACAAAGCAAAACAAGGGGACAGCTGAGATAGCTCAGCAGACTAAGCACTTGCTTAGGCAAGTGCAGGGACGAAGGTTCAATCCCTGGCATCACAGGCCATGCCGGCCCGGCCCCCAGGTGCAGAGAGGTGGCCACTGAGTCCATGGGTGGTGGTGCGCGCCTGCAATCCAACACTGGGGAGGCTGAAAACAGGAGGATCCCTGCCAGTCCAAGCGGTACATTGAGACCCTGTACAATATAATTTATACATACGTACATAAATATAAAATAAAAAAGCAAAACTCCTTAAATTGAATGCTTAGCTTATCTCTCTATCTCAGTTACTTTTGCACACCCCCATACAAAAACTCCCAAATCATTCCTTTCTTCCATACCAAGAATTGCAGTTCTCAATTATAAAGTTTGTGATTAAGAATATTTATTTATTGTACTTATTTCATATAACACAGATTCTTAATTTTTAAAAAAAAATCTTTTTGAGGTAGTCGCTATGCAGTTCAGGCTGGCTATGAACTCACTCTGTAGTCAGGCTGGCCTTGAACTCACAGCAATCCTCCTGCCTCAGTCTCCGGGTGGCATCTGCCACCGTGCCCAGCAACACAGGCTCTTGAAATAACAGTGCTACCACCACCAAGATGGTTGCTGAACATAGTTGAGGTTTTGAGCCTGATCCCTCCATTCTCCTTTTTACAGACCATACTTCCTCCTTTTCAACGTTTTTTTCTTGTTTAATTTATGCATGATGCAAACCACCAGCCATGTTTTCTTTTCTTTCTTTTTCTGTTTTTTATGTTCTGCAGTGCTGGACAGCCTTGTGCATATGCAGGGAACACCCCACCACTGAGCTACATCCCCAGCCTTCACAAGTGCCTTAGTAATGCAGCACTAGCTATTCTGAGTCTCTAAAACTTGTTCTCTCGTTGATGCTTGGAGAAGGTCTAACGCAAAGGATATTCTTCAATTCCTACAATATTGCTAAGTGTCACTATTCTTATATGCAAAAATTAGTTTGGTTACATAAAACTATTGCTCAATACGTAACTGTTAAACACTGAGAAAATAATCTGATATTCTTTCACTTGCAAGGGGCACTGTCACCAGCCTGAATGTCTGAAAGACTTATTATTTCTTGAAAGCCTAATCATTCTCCTAATAATTCAGATCGGTCTTCTGTGTCCTCGGTTACTGCTGTGCTCTTTTGAAACAGTTCTAAGTCTGTTTTTAATTCACTAAGACTGGTTAAACTATAAATTTACTATCTGTCCTGCTCCTTTGCTATGGTTTTCTTCTTTAAGAACTCTTAGCTGTATCAGCTCTTCCTTGCCTGTTTCCAACATGCCAATTTCTAAAAACAACTCACTTTTTCAGTTCTACTGACTTATTTTTATTTTAAATATCTGTCTCCTTTCCTCTCCCCCTCCCTCTCTCTCGACCTCCTCACAAGGACAAGATCCATCCCACTATTTCCTATTACTATCTTTCATATTGCTCTTTATATATATATAGGGTTTCTCCATGAAAGAAACCATGTAATATTTAAGCTTATGTGTTTACTTAACAGTAGTATTAATAAGCTTAGTATTTTACTGAACATTATGATCTCAAGGTGCATCCATTTTCCTATAAATGAATCAAGTTTATACTTCTCTACCACAGAGTAGTATTCCACTATCTACAAATACCACATTTTCTTTATCCATTCACCTGCGCGTGGACATATAGGTTGCCCCTAAGATTTAACTATGGCAAATTGTGCTGCTATAAGGTCCAGCCCGATAGCTTAGTGGACTAAAGCACCTGCTTAGGCAGGGCACAGCAGCTGAGGTTTGATCCCCGGCGTGCAGTGCCAGCCCCATGCGTGGG